AAGAAAGGGTTGCATGACAAAGTTCATTAGATAATAGAGTGATCCCTCATCCAACACTACTCCTCCCAAAACAAACTTGTTCTACTATAAATAGGAGTTGTTTTTTATCATTGGAGACACACCAAAACAATACCACAACCTTGTATTCTCATTCTCCCTTTCTTGCTCAAAATTTCAAAGTTTCAAGGATCAAACTTGGAATTCTCAAAACCAGAGCCTAAACCACTCAAACAACCATCCAAACACATCACAAATCATCCATTGGAGGTGTTCAAACACACATTCATCTCAAATCACCAAAATCAGAAAGTCAACCATCAAAACCTCAAAATTTGACTTTTCTGCATTTTTCAAGCCATGTCTTGATTCAGTCCATTTCAAAACCAAGCAACACCATTTCTCAAATGTTACACCATTTGAGAGAGTTGTCATCTTGGTCACTTTTGCCAATTTTGCAAGAAAAGCCTAGTTCCTATTCCTAAGATTTTCTTTAGATTTTGATCATCCTAAAAGCTTCCAAGGGATCTATTAAGAGTGTCCAAGGCATTAGATTGCTTTTGTCACAAGTATCTTGAAGGTTAGGAAGTGGAGCTTCAAGAGGTAAGTGCATAAGAACTTGAACTTTATGAAATATGAATTGCTTTGATGTACATTGATCATGAACATGTCATACATATCATATTTGTTGTGTTTAAACTGTTTTATCATGCTATTATTGATTGTATAGAGTGGTAGCATAGAACTTGCAAAACTTGACCTATTTTGAAATCACTATCGGGTTTTAAAATGTAGGCATTTTTAGAAAAATCTAAGACCACCATTGGATTCCTCATGAAAGTTTAGGTAGGATTCATCTTTATTTCATCCATTTTCATGGAGAAATAAAGAAATTATGGCCTTCTTGCAAAACCATCAAAACATGGTCAGCCATGGCTATGGAGACTTTGGCCAGGCCTAAAACCAAGTCACCCTTATGTATTTATAGGGTGGGTTTGATACACGGATGTATCACCACCCAAGTGGTTGCAGTGTGTGTTTTCAAGTGTGTTTGTGTTGGAGGGCGTAGGTTCAACACCCACCCATGTCATTTTTTCACCATATTTTTCATATTTTTTTAATAATTTTTTTTGTTAATCAATTTTAATTATTTTAAAATAATTTTTTGCACAAGTATCACTCATATATTAAAATGTTTTATTCACCCAAAAAAAATTACAAAAATATTTTTATTTGATATATTTTTTAATATATTTAAAAATATTATTTTTAATTGTTTTAAATGTTTTTAAAATGATTTCCTTTTCTTGATTTTTAAAACCAAAATGATTTTAAATATTCATGTGGATAAAATACTTGTTCATAAACCTTAATCAGTGTTTATGACATGATGAATAATTTTATTTGATAAAATTATACATATTTTATTTGATTTTTCTTTGAAAAATATCTTTAAAAATATGAAATTAGAGTTTTATTTTAATTCAATCTTTAAAACTTCATTTCAACAATCATAAGCCTCTATTATAGTGTAAGATCCAACCCCCTATGTACATAAATAAATTTTGGGCCTCTACTATAGTATAAGTCTCACAACGTCTTTCAATATCGCGGTTCGATCACTATTTTCAAATAAATCATTTGGGTCTCTCCTTGAGTATAAGCCCCAATCTTTTGTACATAAACTTTGTTTTAAATAATAAACAACACTCACGGGCCTCTATTAGAGTGTAAGACCCAACCTTCTTTGTAAATAAACCATTTCATGGGCCTCTGCTAGGAGTGTAAGTCTCATCTCTCTATACATAAACTTTGATTTCAATATCTCTGGGCCTCTATTAGAGTGTAATACCCAACACCCTTTTGTAAATAGAAAATATTTTAGCCTCATTCATCATGGGCTTTGTACAGGATACAAACAATCATATGGGCATCTATTAGAATGTAATACCCAACACCCTTTTGTAAATAGAAAATATTTTAGCCTCATTCATCATGGGCTTTGTACAGGATACAAACAATCATATGGGCCTCTATCTAGAGTGTAATACCCAACAATTTTGTTTACTTAAAGATCAAGTCATCTTCAAAGTCAAAACATTGTTCAAATTCTCAAAACCCTAAGTCAGTCTTAAAGAAAACATCTAATCAATCACAGTACACTTGGGCCTCTATTAGAGTATAAGACCCACCACCTTTTTCAATTCAATTCATACTTGTTTATATACTTGCTCATATCTCTGTATATATGCTTGTACATATCTTCTTAAGTTTCTCTTAGCATTTAAATCGTCCTTAGTTTAGACTAGTTCAAACAATAGGATCCTTGTCAATCAGTATAACTTAGTTCAAACAACTAGTTCCCCCCTGTACAAAGGAATTCTTATTCACAATATAGTCAACCTCCTCTTAGGCTTTGTTCAATTGATTCAACCTTGAAAAACTTCAATAAAGAAAGGATTATTTCCCGGTGAAACCTTTCTTGAACTCTTCTTAAGACTTAGACAATCTAAATTCCCTAGCCTCCTCCTCTTAGGCTTAGTACAAGGACCCACATGCTTCTTAGAAGCATCCCTAGCCTTCTCTTGGGCTTAGTACAAGGACCCTCGGGCTTCCTAAAAACACATGATAAACCCTAGTCATCCATACACCAATTTCCAAGAGAGTCAAAACCTCTAAAACATTCAAACTCATCCTTTGAGTCTCCTTTTATCCTCAACAAGGCTTGACTTCCACCTTAAATTCCCAGCAAGGGTCAGATTACAATCAACAAATCCCCAAAAGAATCAAAGCCTTTATGGAAGTTCAATAAATCCAACTCTCCTATAATTTCCAACAGGAGCCAGTTTCTCTTTTGATTTCTCAGAGCAGTTGGATCCTGCTCTTGGATTTAATTTTCCTCAACAAGAGTCAGTCTACACTTAAATTCTCTCAGCCTCCTCTTAGGCTTCATATAAGTATTTTTCCCAATCAGCCTCAATCTTGGGTTTTGTACAAGATAGATATAATACTTCCCTAGTTGAGTCAGTTTTCAATCCCTCTTTTAGCTTCAATCTTGGGCTTTGATCAAGGCACAAAATTCAACATCCCCACAGATGAGACTCTGAGTCCTCTCTGTAAGAGGATATTTCTTCTATACACCACATTTCAAAACAAATAAGTAAACCCTTTTCCAGATAATTGATGTAAGTGGCACACTTGTTGATTCAAAATCCAAGTTGGAGTCCCTCCTTTATCATGGCCAAAGTTCTCTTTCATCCAAGTGATGTAAGTGGCAAGCCTCTGGAACACATCCAGGCCAATGTCCCTCTCTTAGCATGCTAAGATTCATAAAGGAACAAGTGGCATTGCTATACACTGAGTTAAAGCTTCTTCCTTTATGACATTTCAATTCTCTTATAAAGGAAGATGTGGTATTGCTGGATTTCACATATCCCAGTTAAAAAAACTTCCCTTATAAACAAAACCTCAATAATTGTGATGAGTAGGTGAGATATCTCCCTTTAGAGATGACAAATTCTCCCTCAAATACTCCTTTAGCTTCAACCTTGGGCTTTGAACAAGACACAAATGCTCTTTTAGCTTCAATCTTAGGCTTTGAAAAAGACACAAAAACTCATTTAGCTTCAATCTTGGGCTTTGAACAAGACACCAACACTTTTAGCTTCAATCTTAGGCTATGAACAAGACACCAAACATTTTTCCTCCCATAGAATAGGAAGAACTACAAACGCTCTGATTTCTCAGTTTCCTTTTTTAAGAGTACGTAGGCATAAAATTGCGAAATCTTAGCGAACGTACTAATCAAAAACCTTAGGTCCAGATACTTTTCCAAAAACAATAGAAAATCCTAAAACAACAACCCAATAAAAGTATGGACGTGTGATAAAGGAGAAGGATTAATTTGATCCACAACCCCAAAGATCATTAGACCAAGTCTAAGAGAGCAACACAAACGAAGAATAAAGCGCCCACGGAAAAGGGTCATGAGGCCTCAGAAACATGATAAGTTATGCCGAAATAAAACACCTAATCAAGGCGAGTGCTCAAAATAAAAAAATATGAAACTTGTCCTATCAAAAAACTATCCTTTTATAGAAGGTTCTAAGTCTATAAAACTCTAAAATCAGCCTATAAAATAGAAGAGAAACATCCAATACATGCACACACTCATTTAACCTAAAATATTTCTCTATTCTTCCTATAACCTCTGACTTGAGCATCAGACCGTAAGCATCATCTCTCGACACCGTATCAAGCACCAAAAATTCAGTAACTATTGAAACTTGCCATCTAGTCAAGACAAGCAAGTCCGACAACAACTATCTTTGTTCCACGTTGGATCACCGCCCTTCCACCTCCATCCGAATGGGCGGAGAGGACAACCCTAAAAAATCCACCAATGAAGTTTTGCAAAACAAATAGTAAAACCACCCGCGCATAGTGTATGAAACCGCGTCGTGCACACTCGTGCATGGAGGAAAATACCATGATATATCAACCATATCAACCAGTGATATCTTAACTTAAATTGAGTCACGAGTTAGAATTCATGTGAAAGATATAGCTTTTTGATTGTGAACTCTATTTGGCAAGCAGACTTATGAGGCATCTGTTGTCACTATTTGATTAGCACTAAGCGGTCTCATTGTAAGGAATCTCAATAGCTTGGTCGTTAGTGGCATGTTTTCTTAGAGGAATGACTTGAATGTGAACTCAATGTAGAGAATAAAGTAAATTAACTTATCTGAGCATGCTTTCTCTTAAGTTCAACAAGTCATTATCAGGTCAAAGAAAGCTCTTAGACTTAAAAAATGTCTTTGCTCCTTAATATATATCTATAGATTATTAAACTGAATGAAAAATTGAAGTTACACATATGAAACACCATTTATATTAATTATAACAAAAAGGGAATAACTATTTAATTTAAAATCACCATAAGAAAAAATACACTGAAACTAATTATGAACTTCTCAGTCTTGATCACGATCCATGGAAGATCATTGTTGAGTTGCATTGAGAGAACTTGGATTCATCATTTGATCATAGTTGTAATTGATTTGTCTTGTATCCATCTCCATTGCACCAACATGTGAAGGTAAATATTGTTGTGTAGACAAAGACAATGATGATGGAAAAGGTACAACATTAATTCCATCTATATCTTTAATTTGGTTAACAAATCCAAAATTTGATAACTCATGAGCAACATGATTACATGAAGGCTCCAATTGGTAACCAAAAGGCATAGGATTCAATAATTCTAAGAAAGAAGGTTGATTTGTTCGTGGATTTCTTCCGTAAGAAGTAATCATATTTGAAGTATGGTCAGATGCTAAATCTGATAAGAGATTATCATGCAAAATATATTGCGCGCAATCATAATGATCAGTCTCGACTTTTTTCTGTTTTTCCTTTTTGCTTCTATTTATCCAACTTTCTTTGTTGGTAACAATTTCTCCTAACCCTTGTCTTGAATTTGATTTCCAAACAGAAGTATTAGAAATAGTACTAGCAAAAGATGGATAACCTAGGGTGAAATTTTCTTGAGGTATTGGAAGTGGAGGAAGTTCATCAATTTCATCTTTAGCTATATTAAGCAACCAATCAACAACTTTGCTAGGTTGACTTAACCCTAATCTATCTTGAAGATCATAAAGATGAATTGCTGTTTGAATTGAAAGTCTTACCCTTCTATCTCTTAGCCCTTTTATTGTGTATACTTTGCTGTGTCTATCTTTTGTTCCAAAGGCTCTTGATACTCTCACAATTCTTGGATCCTTTAGCTTTAACCATTGTGATGTTGATGATGATGATGACGGAGTAGTTGAATCCTTTGATGGAAAAACTTCTTGTTTTAATGGAAATTTGGCTTCTTTTGGAATTTCAATCATCTTTTCTCTAGATATAAAACCCTAGATATATAACTAGCAACAAATTAAAACACACACATGAATACAACTATATGACATCATGCAAATAGAATAAGAGAATGAGGAAGAGAGTATGCACCTTGCTTTTGATGATATGAAAGACGAGTTTGGTTTGATTTTATAGAATGAAAATGGTGAACAAGTTATTATAAGTTTGAGTTTGCAGGTAGAGGAAGATGCTCGAATGGAACCGACCAAGATGTATAAAGGAATGGTAAACAGTTAGCCACGTGTGGTGAGATGAGATATAACCTTATTGGTCAAATCAATTTATAGTATTTATCTTATCATTTACTATAATATGCTTTGCGCATGATCATTGACAATGACTCCAACACCAATCATGATTACAATGAGTTTCAGAGACGTTGCTATATTACAATTATTTCCCTATACTACTATACTAGCTAGCTGCCAAATTATAACACATTTATATAGTGTGGAAAATGAAACAAATTATATAAATAATTATTTTAATGTTTAAATAAACAATTAAATTAATGAAATAAATATTAATCGTGTTTGATACAAATTATTTATATCAATAGTCGCAAATTATTTATATCAATAGTCGCAGTTAATATTTTTTTAAAAAAATATTAACTACGACTATGATAGAGTTTTCATATATTATATTGTTACAAGTGAATAAATTATTTAAATTATTTATGAGAAAAACTAATATTTTTTGGATTGTAAATTATAGACTTTAATTTTAAATTATATGATTTTACAATATACCATTTTAATATTAGTGTTATAATTCATAATTTTTTTTTTCAATACAAAATTAAATGTATTCTTTAAATGATGTGAAAAGTAGCTTAATAGCCGACCTTATGAATTAACATACTATGACTAAGTTCTATAAATGCATCCTAATTTTGATAAAAAATATTCTTTGATTGTGTTGTGAATTTGAATTTTTCCTCAATATGTAAAACAATGTGAACTTAATTTTTTTAATAACAAATTAATAGAATTAATCACTTTGGACCATTTGTTATACACACTTCAAAAAAAGGGGCTAGTGACACGTTATAAGCAACTACAAAAGTACTTTCATTACTGAATCTCCACACATGGAGGGGGCCATTGTACATAAAAGACAAAATTTTCTATAATAATCGATTTTTTTATTTATTTGCAAAAGAAAATATTTAAAAAAGTATATACTAATAATAATATATTAATTTTATTAATAATAAAGATGTCTTTTTTTTAATCATTTCTAATAGTTATCTTCTCTAACAAGTATTTCATATTTACATAACCATAATTAGTCAAGTTAAAACATTAATTTTTTATTAATACATTAAATTTTGTTTTAAAAAATAAAAACTAAAAATTATATTTATAAAATAATGGGTCTAAGCATACTTGTTGTAAATCTAAGAAGAGATAAACTCTCTCTCTCTGATTTTTCTTTCTTTTTGTATAAGAAGAGATAAGATAATACCTTCAATTCATCCACATAAAGATAAATTTGACAATCATGTGTGTTTTTAGGAATTAAAGTTATTCTAAAGTGATCAATTCTAAGGAATAATTCACTTAAGAGGTGTCATCCATGAATAGAAGTGTATATTAATCTTAAGAAAATAATAGGCGCTGTTAAATAATAGAAAAAAAAAATATATATGAATTTGAATTAGAGTAAAAATATATATAAAAAATATACAATTTTAAAAATATTAGAATATATATATATATATATATATATATATATATATATATATATATATATATATATATATATATATATATATATATATATATATATATATATATATATATATATATATATATATATATATATATATATATATATATATATATATATATATATATATATATATATATATATATATATATATATATATATATATATATATATATATATATATAAGGCACTCTTAAATATACTTAGAGTATGATTATTGTTGGACTTTCAACTAGGGAGCATTGAACATAGTGGGACTTTTTCTAGAGCAACCTTTGTGGGAGACACACCACATACTCACCCAAAACCTTAAGGTGATAGGTGTGTGGGTTCTCTTATTTATAAATGCTCAAGTCACCACATTTCTATCCAATGTGGGACTATTATCCACCCTACTCACACTTGTTAATACTTTAACTTTAACACTCTCCCTCAAGTGTGAGTCTATCCACAATGCTCTCCCTTAAGCGGAAACTTCAACTGTGCAACTGCACCCTTGTACCGCCGTTGACACTCTTCAACGAGACACTCAACCCACAACCTGTGGGGATACTTTCGATACAAGTAATTTGTTCCCTTTATTCGAACCAAAGGCTCAAGATACCACTGTTGGACTTTCAACTAGGGAGCATTGAACATAGTGGGACTTTTTTAGAGCAACCTTTGTGAGAGACACACCACATACTCACCCAAAACCTTAAGGTGATAGGTGTGTGGGTTCTCTTATTTATAAATGCTCAAGTCACCACATTTCTATCCAATGTGGGACTATTATCCACCCTACTCACACTTGTTAATACTTTAACTTTAACAATTATGACATTCTAAGTGTGTATAATTTTACTACGAGTTAGAGGTATGAATGTTAAGATAAAGAAGATGAACGATGGAAAAAGAGAGAGAATTGAATAACAAATTTCTACTACTCTTGTAAAACGATTATAGTAAAATAGTTATGCAATACCTCTATTGAAAGCTACATTTGTTTATATCAAACAATAATGTAACATAGGCAAAATGCTAACCTACACTAACTAGATTAAGCTTAACAAAAATAACAACAACAACTACTATTGAATATGAATTACTTCTAACACAATCCCTTAATTGATATTCAGCTAACTAAACACTACAATACCAGTCTTATCCCTCAAGTGGATAAAGTGTTCGGTCTTCACGACTTTAGTCAACACATCTGCAAGTTGCTTTTGAGTGCTACAACGCACAACTTCTAGCGCTACATTCTGGACTTTATTCCTTAGAAAATGGAACTTCGTGTTAATATGCTTGTTTCTCCCATGTAGAACTAGGTTCTTGGCAAGACTTATGGTTGATTTGTTGTCAATCATCAGCTTCACATGTTTGTTCACTTTGATCTTCAGATCCTGCAACAAATTCATGAGCCAAGTAGCTTGGCACGCAGACAAAGTACCTTAAATGTATTTAACTTCACATGTTGACAAAAAAGCAATTGGTTGCTTCTTAGAGCACCAAGAAATAAGACCTCTCTGATACTTAAACTAATATCCAGAAGTACTTCTGTTGTCAACTCTATCTCCACACTAATCAGAGTCTGAGTAATACATCAACTCTGAATTAGCCTTTTCACCAAAAGGGAACGAAAATCCATACTTCAGAGTCCCCTTAATATACCTCAGAATCTTGATAGCAGCTTGATAATGAGACCACTTCAGTTTACTCATGAACCTACTAACCATTCCAATTGCATAGCAAACATCAGGTATGGTATTACACAAATACCTCATGGATTCAACCAACTGCTTGAAGGTTATAGCATCTACACCATCAGCCTCAAGATCAGAATCCAATTTTTGATTTGTTTCTGAAGGTATGACAACATCCTTACAATTCAGTAGCTCAAATCTCCTCAGAAGCTCAAGTTCATACTTTAGCTTATGCAAAATTATACCTTTCTCAGAGTACATAATCTCCATCCCTAGAAAATATGTCATATTTTATAGACCAGTCATCTCAAACTCATTCATCAGCACCTTCTTGAATTTAGCTATCTCATGTTCACAACTCCCAGTTAGCAATATGTCATCAACATACAGACATACCAAAACCATATTGCCTTTAGAGGTATGCTGAACATAAACGCCATACTCCATCTCACACTTTCTAAATCTTTGGAGCTTGAAAAATGAATCAATTTTCAGATTCCAAGCTCTAGAATATTGTTTCAGTCCATACAACGCTTTTTGTAAGCTGTATACCACCCCTTCCTGATTATTTTTCATGAATCCATGAGGTTGTGCACATATACCTCTTCTTACAATGGACCGTTCATAAATGCATATTTCACATCCAGATGTATCAGAGGTCAATTCCTGCTAGCAGCTATCACAATCATCAATCTGATTGTCTCATGTGTCTCTACATGTGCAAACACTTCAAAGTAATATAACCCAGGTTTCTGTAGAAATCCTTTTGCTACTAAACTTGCTTTGTGTTTTCCAATTGATCCATCTGGCTTCAGTTTCACTTTGAAAACCCATCTGACGTGATGGTTTTCTTCTCCTTTGAAAGCTCAGACAACTCTCAAGTATTGTTTCTTTCTATAGTCTCAAGTTCGTCACTCATGGCCTTCAGCCACACTTTCTTCGTAAGATCTTCTTCAACATTAACTGGTTCAGAGTCTAGTAACATAACACATTGAATTACTTCTCCCTCAGAGTGTACTTCAGTATCTTGTAACATGTCAAACTCTGCAAATCTTGGTATTTATCTGATTCTTTGTGGCCCCTGAACTTGTTCAGAATCTTCTTCAGACGTTGGGACAATATCAGATGTTGGAAGCCCAGAAGTGCCACCATTAGAGGCATGACCACCTTCAGAGTCTGGAATATTCCCAGAGTCTGGATCTCCACTAGAGTCTGAATCACCATCAAAATCTGGATCAGAATCATATTCAACTTCTGAGTCTTCTTCAGCTTCAGTGTTACTATCAAACTCTGACTCGTCTTCAGACTCATAATCACCATCAGATATTGACTTATCTTCAGATGCAAAATCCCCTTCAGAGACAGATTATCCTTCAGAGTCAGAAATCTCTTCAGAAGTTAACTCATGTGTAAATATCGCACCAGAGTTGGATTGAGATTTTTTCTAATCCCCCGCTTCTGATTCTTTCATAATAACATCTCTGTTGAATTCAACCTTGTTAGTGACAGGACGATAGAGCTTATAAGCACATGTGTTGTGGTATCCTAGAAGC